AGTACAAATTATAGGACACTTGCTCATGTTGTAACTTGTAAGCTAGAACACTATACGGTTTACTATAATATAAACGAATTATGGGAGATGCTTATTTAAACAAAATGTTTTGGATAATACATCATTATATAAATAATATAATAATTAATTTTTCAACATCATTATTCTTACCCAATTTACATTACATTATTGTTAATTTTGTTACATTTTCTAAGTAAATTATGTGTGGTTATCTAATATAGAATCTAAGCTTATAAGAAATTGTTCTAATTAATCTTCTAAGTAGCCATCTAATAAGACCTTTACAACATTCATGCTCCCAACTAGTCATACTACACGTTGTCATGTTGGATATTTCACCCTCATAAGCGGTTAATGAAAGGCACCTGAAAAAATATACTTAACTCAATTAGAGAAAATAATATACACCTGTATCATTAATACGTACGTAATTGGTTAGAATTATGGATGACGTGATTATTATGAGCTGCATGCCTATTAATTCGATAAACCCTAAGACTTATTAATGATCCAATTAAATGTACAATCAATAGACACGCAATTTGAATACAATGCTATAATAGAGCAATCATGGCACTATATATGGGACAAATTTTAATATAAGCTCCCGACAAAGTCAACACCTAGCTTAGCTATTTGTACGGTCAAAACTCAAATTAGTACTGCAATTAACATCTAATAACTAGCTTAGTACAACAACTAAATTATTCGAAAAAATGATTTTCGATCCTTCAATGATGTAATGAGTTTCAAAGAAAATTAGAGAGGTTGTGATACCATTGTAAACAAAGCAATGTGTTTTTTTAAGTTAAACCTCCACTTTGTCGTGTAAGGTATAATTGCCAATTTGGCCAATTTATTACCAAAAACCCTACCTATATATGTAATCAATGTACGTTTACTGTCATAAGGTTGGAAGTTCGTGTGCTTGTTTTACGTATTCAATGTTATTTATTGGGGTCTTTGTAATACTTATACTAAATTTGTTTGGTAATGTAGGTCACAATATAGTACAATAGTACTTACATCGACACTTAAATTTCTACAACTAGGTTTACGTTTGTTGTGGAAAACATTTTTCAATTTCCAAAATTGTACGGAGTATGATTTAATGATTTATAAAAGGTGAAAAACAATTATCCAAAATGGAATTTGGATTTCTCAAGAGTATGTAGAGAATTATGGCAAGATAGATAGAGGCTAAGTATCGTAGCTCCTTTGTCTTTACTTTGGTTTTTCAATGGCTAAATCATTTGTGTCTTGAAAGATGAAAACATGAGTAAATTATGAAGAAAAAAAAAAAACCAATTGCGGTGATTGATTCATGTTTTATATAGAATAGTGTTTTTATGTGATTAATTATGTAAAAGTTTATGATGTATTTTGTCTATGAGTGCAAGTCACAATTGTCCGTACAAAAAACACAATTTTAAGAGGTATATACATATATGTCCAAATTGTCCCTAATATTCATAGATCCTAAATTTGTATTGGAATTTCATGTAACTTTCACATATAGATTAGTAAAGGTCAGGCTTTGAATAATACATAAAAGTCCAGTTCATAATTATTGTAATTACAAAACATAAGAATCTTAAATCATACAGTTTTTTTTTTTTTTAATAATCAGAAATGAACACGGGACTTATTCTCATTTAGTGAACTGAGTTAAATTGCACTGAAAATTAAGCTGAAAAGAACAGACTCGTAGTGTCGATTACATAATTTTATAAGACCAACTTAATAAGCTTGTTGTTTTAGAATATGGACTAGAACGAACAAATTATTACAAGAAGTTCATTCAAATTAAAGTGTTTTTTTTTTACATAATTACGAATTAAAGTTACTGTTACATGAATTAAAGTTACCTTAAAATTTGTTAAAATTACCCTTATATTGGCCATCTTAAAATAAAATATAAGTTAGTCTGCCTTATACAAGACTTATTGTTTTTTTTCCTTTTGAATTGCTAGAGTTTAATAGTTACCTTATTAAGGAAATAAGTTCAAAGGGTCCAAAAAAAAGTAAATAAGAACAAAAATGATTTAATTATCACATTTTGATATTCAATTTTTATTAGATTAATTAACGTAAATGACATGACCATATAAGGCCTTGTTCCTTTGAGCTATTGTGGTCTGCTAATTTTTTCTACTCTACTGAGTTCAACTTCGTTAAGTATTAATAATCTGCTCTACTCAATCTGCTAACACCTACTCTACTCTGCTCAAAAACTCAAAAGAAGATGACCTTAACCTCGACCCTCACGTTCACGTAACAATCCCAACATGAAATGGCTACGTACAAGGCCTAAAATCAAAAGAGAAGACATCCCCCAAGAGGACAAGAAGGTGTATATAACACACCTTAATTAGAAGGGAAGAAATTAAACTTTCAACTGAACACATTAATTTGCTGGGAATCTGCATGTTAAATCCACCTAAGCAAGAATTAACTGTCGTTTTTTTTTTCCAGATAATCTCACTCATTATTAATCATGCTCATAAAAGGCGACAAACTCTGTATGTACTCTTCCTACTTGGCTTATTTTTATCTGTGCTTTAATTTTTCTTTCACCTTTTTTGTAAATATGATGATAATGATCTATTATATTGGAGTTTTTATCATCAACAATTTCACATGTAGATGCCATTTTTTTGAGGTATTATACAAATTTTATAATAAAGATGAAAAGAACATGTAAACTTACGTTGGGTGGATAATGACACCCTTGAAAATCATATGCACTTTTTTTATTTTATTTATAAGTGGTGTATATATCAATATATGTGAATCATTGCACATAATTTTCTTATTATTTTCACACGTTGAGTGATAAGGGTGCATAATATGAGAGATAGATTTCTGCTTTACTATTGTTTAATGATTAACTACACATACATATTATTAATTAGGGTCTATTCAGTTCAGCTTAATTTCAGTTCAGTTCAATTCATCTCTAATCATTTCGCTTTAATTCCTAATTTCCTTCTCTTATAAATAGTTTGTTTAGTTGTTTTCGGTAAATCAGAACATGCCCTTAGTATTTCTTTCGTATGTTTCAAATTAATCGCACTTACAAATTAAAATAGGTGATCAAAATAATGGATGAAAGGATAAGTATTGTTATTAAATTATTGGTACTTTGTTCATTTTTTAAATTTACTAGCTCCATAGTTTATCTGTTTATTTGCTTTCAAGTTTCAACAAGTTAAAGCACTTTTCCATTAGTTGTGTAAAATGGGCATCAAATTCACCTTTAGAAAAGTAATTTATGATACGTAGTAAGGACTAAGGAGGAGTTAATATCTCTAAGTTAATTAAATAGTAATCCATCTTTTTTTTAATTAAATATTGCAACTTCGACAATTAGTGGTTTAAAATGCTTATTTAAAAAAAAAATCTATTTTGATATGGAAGTAACTAATTTTAACTTCAATGCCCCCAAAAAACTACTACCCGTACAAAAAATAATTGACAATTACTACAATATATAGTTTTGCAAAACAATCAATTCTATAAAAAATATTGTGTGCTTTCTCCAATTCATTCTCTCTTTCCCGAACATAAAATGCTCTATTTATTTTATGTATACCTACATATCCTTAGAGTCTGTTCACATTTACTTAATTTCAGTTCAATTTAGTTCAGTTCAGTTCAGTTCAGCTCTTAATTTCCCTCTCTCATAAAATATTTATTTCAACTCAGTTCAGTTCAGCTCCAATCAGCTCAGTTCAGTTCAGTAAATGTGAACATGCCCTTAGACTCGTATACTTAGCAATTTGCATATATGCACGCATGTTTGATAAAACTAAGTGGATTATGTTTAGTAAACCTATTTGATTTGAATACTTACACTATGTGCCAAATTACAAAGTAATGGAGTTTGGAGTCGTTAAAGAGACAAAAGCCAATTCAAACTAAAACAAGGCCGAAGCAAAATTGTACCGTTACCAAAAAAAAGGTCAATTGTAGGGGCTAATTTAGCTATGATTCGCAAATTGTATTTGAAGACATCTAACTAAAGCAAATAGTCTATGGGCACGTACATATTCCTTGGTGTACATTATTTTGTTTAGAAAATGAAATAATTTGTTAAGTACTACCATACCTCTAATGGATCCACAAGCTTAAGTTTCTAAACTTATTTATTAACTTGGATTATTAAATTCTCCTATAATAATATATAATTGTATAATTTTGTTTTGTTTATATATGATGAGATAGATCCATCTAAAAATTAAAGAGCAACTTATATAAAATACTTAGATAAACAAACAATATTTTTATGTGTTAGTTACTATACATTGTCGCTATAGGTAGCTATCAACAACACTTGTTAAAATTAGCAAGCTTTGATCACAAATTTGCACAACCTATTATTTACAAGTTTTGATCAAGGGTCTCGACTTTCTTGAGTTATAATTTCTTAATAAATATTGACATATAGCTATAAATATACCTTTATTATTGTAAATTTCTCAATTAGTATAATAAAATATTATGTTCTTACAAAGTAATGTATTGCATGTATAGTTGTACACTAAAAAATTACAGATCATGTTGATTTGACCTCGTCACGCCCCTTTAACATTTTTCTTTATGTAATGTAGATTGGGGATTTCACTAAAATAACAATATAAATTGCTATATGTAGAAAATTTGATTTAAGGGAGACAATAATAATACAACAATATAAAATAAAGGAAATTTTGCAAAAAACCACCTTTTAAATCTTGTTTTTTGCATTTAACCACCTTTTAAAAAAAAATGTTGCAAAAAACCACCAATTTTAAAAATTTTGTTGCAACTTACCACCAATTCAATGTAAAACAAGTGATAAATTTGGCTTAAAAAGTGGTAATTTACAACAAAATTTTTAAAATTGGTGGTCTTTTGCAACATTTTTTTTAAAAGGTGGTTATTTGCAAAAAAACAGGATCTAAAAGGTGATAAATAAATACTAGAAAACAAAAATATAAAAACAAAATTAATTATGATATATAATAATGTATATAATAATGTATGTGTTGTATAATTTCATTACCTTGCAAAAAAGGTGGGGAAGCCGAGAGGGACCCAAAATTTGATATCCCACATCTCACCTCATGTAATTATGCACAAAATGAAATGTAACCAACAAGCTACAAACCAAAAAAATCAAACCTTTAAAAAAATGAAGAAATTTGTAAATGCAAAACAAACCTTTTTTTTTTACTCTCCTTTCTCTTATATGTTGACTATTGACCTTCATGAACAATTTGAAGCTAATATATGACTATATATATGTTTTTGTAATAATGTAATGAATGAATTTGTATGAAACTAAACTATATATTATAATTAACTACAAAAAAAAAGGGGGAAATTTTAGACTTAAATTATCTATTTTTCTAGTAAACCCATCCATAAATAATTAGGGTGTTGATCATCATCAAGCCCAAATATCATGGATTCTCCTTGGGCTAATTGCCATGTAGAATGACAATAATACCCTCCAATTCTTTGAGTAGTTTTACCTTCAATTACAAGGTCAGGCAAGTCAAACAATGACTCATCATCATCAACATTATGTCCATGTCCATGACCATGATGATCATGATCATCATGGTCTGTAGTGGGTCCCACAGAACTAGACCATTCAATGTTATTAGCTTCTTCTGATGAAGAAGAGCTAAGATTGGTGGTTGTTGATGAGCTTGATGAGCTGCTAGCTAGAGGTCGGCTCAGCTCGGCTTCAGCCGCCTTAGCAGCCGCGGCTTGTATGTCTTTAGGACACGTGGAGGCAGGACGAGGTAGTAAATGTGCAAGTTGAGGGAAGTTAAGGAATGCATTTTCACCCTTGATGGCTAAAGCCGCCACGTCATGAGCTCGAGCCGCCATCTCAGCCGTAGGGTAAGTTCCAAGCCATATTCTTGACTTTTTCCTTGGCTCTCTTATTTCGGACACCCATTTACCCCAACTTCTCTTTCGTACACCCCTATACATTAGATGTTCATCCTTTTGGTGACGAATATCATTATCGTTATCATTATCATTATCATTCACGAGTTTTTTATTAATAGAGGCCTCATTATTCTCCTTCGGGTCCAATCTTATTCTCTTGGACCCATTCTTGATGGTTTTCGACTTTTTATCAATACCTGAAAAAGGGTTATTAGAAGACGATACAGAGGATGAAGAGGTAGAGGTCGAGGTAGAGGCCGTGGTAGAAGTGATAGATGAAGATTTTGATAGAGAATGGAAGAAATTGTCTAGAGATTCATTTTGTAGATGTGTTTCCATGATGGGAGGGAAAGAAAGAAAAGAAAAGAAAATAAGAAGAAAGTTTAGAGAGTGTGTGTAGTATTTATTTTGTTACATGATTGTGAGGAAATAAAAGAAGAAGGGGGTATATATATAATTAAAAAAAAATGATGATGTAAAAAAAATAAAATGTACTCCAAAGAAAAGAATTTAAGGAAGTGGGAAGAAAAGGGAAGTGGGGCCCATACTTTTGGCAAAATTAGAGGTGTATACAGTTAAGAGGAGCTAGTTGTGATACCCCATGTGGCATATTTGATTGATGTATAAAAGCTTGATTGATGCTTGACTGTACAAATACGTATAAAATATTCTTAGATATCTTTTCATACTGAAAACTATGGTTTATAAATTTAATTAATTAATTATATATATATATATATATATATATATATATATATATATATATATATAGAGAGAGAGAGAGAGAGAGAGAGAAATAGGATCATGTGAGAACCCATGGTTTAGGTGAGAACCATTTTAAAATGAGAACTCATCTAACACCATTCATTTTTATTAGATGAATGGTTCAGATTTATTGTTTCATTAGTGGGAATTCATGTGGGCCACCTTCATTAATTGTAATGATTGTTTGTATTTTTTTTTTAATTTTTGTGCATTGGGACACAAAATCTGCCAAAAGCTGTCATTATTACATGCTTTTTATTATTTATTGCATTGAAACACGATACGTTAAAATGTAGTTGAAGTGTACGTCGTTAATGATGTTTCGTAAAATATATCAAGTGTTTCAATTTATAATATTAATGTTTCATATATATTATTGCTTGTTTCATACAGTTGGACTCTATATGAACTAGGTGTACAGTGATTTCTTATACCTTATCTGATGTTTCAAAAATATACCTTATGTTTCATTTTATAATGCTTATGTTCCATAAAATATATGTGTTGTTTCATATACTAATGACATTGTTTTATACATAAAAATCATTGATGTTTCATATAATATTTTATTCGAATATTATTTATATTGTTCCAGAAATTTGAACTATTGTCTCATAAATATTATACATTGTTCCATACCATATGTGTGAAATGTATCAATGACTGAAATGCATGTTCCCAAGAAAATTAAAAAGCATGTACCAATGACTGAAATGCGTGTTCCCAAGAAAATGCATGGGAAATTGATAATTAATCTCAGCCATCCATTATGTGTAATTGGTGTACGTTAATGATGTTTCGTAAAATATATCAAGTGTTTCAATTTATAATATTAATGTTTCATATATATTATTGCTTGTTTCATATAGTTGGGCTCTATATGAACTAGGTTTACTGTGATTTCTTATACCTTATTGATGTTTCAAAAAACATACCTTATGTTTCATTTTATACTACTAATGTTCCATAAAATATATGTATTATTTCATATACTAATGATATTGTTTTATGGGACAATAGTTCATATTTCTGGAACAATATAAATAATATCCGAATGAAATATTATATTATGTATAAAACAATATCATTAGTATATGAAACAATACATATATTTTATGGAACATAAGTAATATAAAATGAAACATAAGGTATGTTTTTTTAAACATCAATAAGGTATAAGAAATCACAGTAAACCTAGTTCATATATAGCCCAACTATATGAAACAAACAATAATATATATGAAACATTAATATTATAAATTGAAACACTTAATATATTTTATGAAACATCATTAACGTACACTTCAACTACATTTTAACTTAACGTTGACAACACAATTCAATGTAACATTACATTTTTTAATTGAAACAGCGACAAGTCTTTTTGAAACAATAATAACATCTTTTGAAACATCTCAAAATTATTCCTTTAATACAATAAAATAAGTAATTAATACTGTTCCAATTGGATGATATGCCCGTTATTGTCAATACAATTTATATTGTTCCAGAAATATGAATTATTGTCCCATAAATATTATATATTGTTCCATATATAAGAACTAGTGTTCCAATTACATGATATGCCCCTAGTTTTCGAATTTTAAATATGTCGTTCCAGAATTTTCAACTATTGTACCACATACAGATTTGCTCTTTTTTTGCACTACTTCGAAAATTCTACCAAAAAATATCAAACGAACTCCAAAAATTCAGAAATTTTGTATGCTTATTCTACACAAAAAAATAAGCAGATTCAAAAAAAGAATCGCTTCAAAAGGGTTTTTTATGAGAGAGAAATCTTCATTTGAAATCCGTCTTTCCAGATTTGCTCCTTTTTTGCACTACTTCGAAAATTCTACCCAAAAAAATATCAAACGAACTCCAAAAATTATGAAATTTTGTATGATTATTCTACACAAAAAAATAATCAAATTTTAAAAAAATTCGCTTCAAAAGCTTTCTTTATGAGAGAGAAATTTTCATTTGAAATCTGCCTTCATTTCTCTCTCTTCAATGGCTAAATTAAAATGAAACCAGATTTTCCATTTTCTCTCTCTTCAATGGCTGTATCTCTTGGTTTTATAGTACTAAATCGGTGTTTCAATGCAGAAAATAAGGAAAAAAAGTAAAAAACATGTACTAATGACTGAAATGCGTGTTCCCAAAAAATGCATGAGAAAGTGATAATTAATCTCAGCCATTCATAATCTCAAAATTGATGGTGTAAGATTGGTTCTTATTTTAAGAGGGTTCTCACCTAAGGGGTGGGTTCTCACATGATCCCTCCCCTATATATATATATATATATATATATATATATATATATATATATATATATATATATATATATTTTCTGTATTTAATTTAGATCATAATAGTATCTACAAAGTAATAATTTGGTTCATGTAATGGAGTATAATTTTCGAATCCAGGTGTGGAAAAATCTTGGTTTTTGGGGACCTCAATTTTGGATCTCTTTGTAAAGTGTAAGCTGTTTTTGTTCTATGCTTCCTTTGTTAGAACATCATTATAAATTGTGTGCTGGTTTGTTCATATAATCCGCGTATAAATTGAGACTATTGTTCTACTTTGAAAAATAAAAAGCGTTTATGTGTAACAGCATAAGGTATATACGTGTAAGGTGTAAATGATAGTGAGATACTCTTTTGATTATCAATTGATTATAAAAAATGAAATTCTATTAAAGTTTGCATGTAAGATGTGCTTTCTTTACCTATATTTAAACAGAAATTTTTGGAATAATTAAAGGTGATCAAGTCTAAACAAATTTAAATGTAAGGTGAAATCAAAATTAATCAGTTATAATAAGGTTTAATAAACTTAGTTTAAATAAGTCAGGGTGATGAATGACTGCGTATCCATAATTAGATTCTCTTGACTCCGCTAATGAGGGCTTGATTTAAGTCATTTTCATATATATTTACAAATAATTAAGTACATGATACGGAGTAATATTTTGATTGAATAATAATAATTCTTTAATTTATTCAGTATTTGTATTTAAAACAAAGACATGGACTAAATGGTGAACAAGGGCCCCCTAATAAGATCTTCTAGTTTCCAGTTTTCACCACGTTAATTGCCATAAGTTAGGGCAGACCCACGGTATTTGATGCGTTGTTGATTTAAAATTGTCCCACATAAATTGAAATTAAAATAAAAATAACAATAATATTAATAATTATAATTATAATTATAATAGACCAAATTTTGCTGCGGTATAGTAGTGAGAATGAAATCAAATTAAATATACACCTAGCTAACAAGCTAGCCAATTTGTTGATGTCATACGATTGATTCTTATACCTAACTAAATTACCAAATATGAACTTAATACTTAAATAAACTTACCTAATTTTTTGGTTCCACTTTAATTTCTATGCCTTTTAAAGGGTAGACATTGAAAAATCTAGTATGATCCTTTTATTGATTTGTACTACGTACTACTAGTCTACTACTAATATTAATTTTTTTTTTTTCGTTTTTTAGCATGAAAAATGATGTAATCACTAGTACTATTTTTTTTTGTACTTTTTCTCCAACGCAATTATATTAGACGTGTATAATCTATGATACACATATACTCAATTAATATCATCGTGTCCTATATTCTATAATTACGGTTATTTAATGTCATGTACAAGTTTTGCAGGTAATATATAGTGTATTGATATTATTAATGAACAAACAGTTTTGCGTTGAGGAAATATATAAATTACAAATTTGCGTTATAACAAAGAAAGTTAAACTCGATTTTGTCCATTTTAGTTTCAGTTGTTTGAAAGTATAAAATTCATAGAACAATTAATGATAAGACTTGAAAATACACGTTACTGAAGAGATTGCTAGTTATAAAATCACTCTTTAAACGACCAATACAATGGAGTATACTCATGATCAGCTCGTACAAGCTATAATTCACTTAATTGACAATTTTTTGCACAGTCAACAATTTTTATATTGAAATACTAATCCGAAATCTTCTACATGTACGTATAAAATTATTTAGGCGTATACTTCTTATAATACAGGTTAGTGGAATAATAAGGAGGTTTTGTTTAATAAAGAACATCTTAATTAATTGACCTTCCACTACACTCTCACTTAGTAATTAATAGTAGTAAATTCTATACTCCAAGCTGTATTATACTAATACTTCCAGACAAAGCAGCTAATTTAATTGACTATTAGGCATAATATAGACGAGTATTACACACACCTCTAAAAATCAGCATTTGATTGGTTTAGAGGTCAAATTTTAGTTGAACTTCCCTTTTCTTAATTTTGCCAAGCTGTATTATACTGTATATTTCATAAGAAAATTAAAGTATATTGTATTTATATGATATATTCTTTATTTCGAGTAAAGTAAAAATACGGTCCCTTAACTTTGGTATAAGTTTGATTTAGGTCCCTCAACTTTCAAAAGTCTGATTTTGGTCCCTCCACCACCATTGAAGACTTATTCCGACAAAATAATTGATGACTAGATAAAGTTTAGGGACAAAATTGCCGAGTTGTCAAATGAAGGGAAAAGTTTAGGGACCTTGCCCATATGACGTGACATTTTTTATTAATATTGGTAAAAGTTTAGGGACCTTGGCAGTCCATTTTTCCCCAAAATGGGTATTAACTTAGGTGATATAATCAGAAGGCTCCATTTATTCCTTTAGAAATTAGAAGCCCACAAGAGTACTTTTCATCACAAATTTGTATTACGCTATTGTTGCTGATGTCGGGCTGGGAATTTGGCGAAACAAGGGAGCAAAAAGAGGTCAAGCTTGCGAAAGTATCATCTGCTGAAGGTAATGCCATCCTCTAATTTGGAAATTCTTATATGTGACATGAATTGTATAATCAGCACGAAAATCATTAAAAAAATTCCAAAGTCCCTAAACTTTAGTACAGTCAGCATTGGAAGTCCCTAAACTTTGGTCCAGTCAGCAATTAAATAATAGCAAGGTCCCTAAACTTTGCTGACTCATTCTTATAGCCACCACAATTGATGAGTCATTGGTGGTGAAGGGACCAAAATCAAACTTTTGAAAGTTGAGGGACCTAAATCAAATTTATACCAAAGTTTAGGAACCGTATTTGGTCTTTATTCTCTTTATTTCTTAGAAACTGCCTATCATTACTTCAATTATGTGTTTATGTACAATATACCTTGATTTTTTTTATCAGTTAGTAGTACAAGTCAGGTCAATAAATAATCTAATGTTACTGTTTTTTGTTTTGACAGCTTAACTAAAGGAAGCTAAACTTGCTATTAATGTCATCTTCACTTTGACCTAAATGCTTCAATCTCATTATGATATGAAAGAAACTTGATACTTTCTTTTCTTCCTAAACTGTTGGGTACATACGTTATTGGCCTTATTGCCATAGCGCTAGTATACACATAGGTCATGTTTTTTTAGAGTTAATCTGCTATGCTTTATTGATATTTGCTCGTCGAGTCCTGCTCTGCTCTGTCAAGAAGCTCAAAAGAACAGGGTCGTGCTCTCGTTTGTATTAAGTAGTTGCAACCCTTTATATTTTACATCACCATGCACAAATATACATGACTTTGAACTATTGCTATATACTTCGCAATAAAGTATGTAAATAAGAGCATGAGTCAGCCTTGTTTAAGAAATTAAAAGAGTTATTTATGCTCAATTCTTATTTTGTATTGTGATTGGTGTATGCTAATAAGCTATGCATACACACAATTTATAATAAGTAATTAAATCATTATTAGCAATAGAGAACCTCATTATTATTGATTGGTGTATGGTGTTTTAATTATGATTGTGAAAGCAAAGAGGAATTCAAGTATTAGTTCCAAAAGATGGAGGAAAAAGATGGGTATATATTAATATTAAAGGTTTGGTTTTTTGGGGGTGGAAGTTGGCAAAAAGTTTCAATCAAGCACGTAGGTAGTATATATAAATAGAGATTATAATAATTAAAAATATCTAATCAGAATTTGTCTATTAATTGACATGAGTGAAAGGTGGGTCCATATTCAACCCTTAAAAAAAATGCTAGTCATGCTCATACTCATGGGTAGATACATTGAAACCATTCACAAACATATTTTTATTTTTTGGGATCAAAAATATTAAAAATCAAATACAATAACAAAAATGAAGTAACTTGACCAAGTGGAGTTTGACTAACATAAAAACCATAGGTTATAAAATTATAATGAAATTGAAATCATAACTCATGGACTTACTAATTAAATATTACCGTTTTGCTTATGTTATGCAAATATCTCATGTGCTCTTGCTTTGCTTGGTGAGATATGGACAAATTTTGCAACTCTTTCAACACATGATCCCAGATTTAGACACATTGATCCTCTTCAACAATTATTAAGAGAGAGAGGCATCATATATTATAAATAAATACCAAAATACAAATGCAAATATAAACAAAATAATGAATTTATACTCTCTTTGTCTACAAATAATCGTGATTTTTCTAATTTTTATTTGACAGACAAATAATCAATATTCTTCTATTTATTTGTTCACAAAAATCTTTCAATTATTTAAAATGAAAAATTTTCCGCTCAACTTATGCAAGTTTAACCATTGACTAACTCTCGATCGTACATTATTATGATCCTGTATTATTAATTTTCTTAATATGCGTATCTAAATTTTATTATTTGAGACCAGTGAGGTGAGTATATGCCATACAAATTAATAATGTCAGTTTAGTAGGTATATACTTATAAGAGATAGGTGCCCCTGGAATATAAGGGCACTTGGAAGAGTTATGTAGGTTTATAATGGCACATGCTCCTTTGTCTACAATCTATAGAAAACTCTAGAAGTTGGCCTTGTTTTTGGAGATTTTGTTTGTTAGCTAATTAAGTAGACATACAATCCTTAAGTAGGATGCTGTTTTAATTACTTGTAATTATTTTAATTATTTTATTTAGGACTATCTTGGTATCTCTCTGTCAAAAGTAAGAAGATACTTCTATTCTTTTGGAAAGTTTTTTCCATGAATGCCTTGTAAATATAAGATTATCTAGACTAGATACTTTCAGAATTCAGATTATATGATTCTAGGTAGTTTCTTTGTTTGCAATAGTCATCTCTCTTTTTATAACTAGTTGTACCACGTGCATGATACATACAACTAACATACGTCCAACCAAGGGTTCTGAGCCTACATTTATTTGCTTCTTATCACCATACATAATCAAATACAATAACCGATAGTACTATGCAAACACTCAAATTCACATAATTCTTTTATTTGATTATTTTAAAATAAATTACTCATATTCTCTTTTTTATTTTCTCTCTCAATATACTTTTGCTTATTTTGTTGTATGACTAAATAAAGTAAAAAATCGTGTGTTTATACAATGATGTAGGTAGATTGTAAAACAACCTTTATTAAGGTTATAAGTTAATCTGTTAAACAATACGGAGTACATTAAATTAAGAATTAAGATTTCTAAGTCATTAATTATTAGTTATTACTAATTTCGACTAACCTTCCAAATGGTATGTATTACAATTTACAAGTAGCCTTAAAAATGGTTAGAGTTGCGTATGAAGTATAGTAGCCGCAAGTATGGGGTAATACACCGACCATACGTCAAGATACAGTCTTAAACCAAACAACAAACCCACAATTATAGTGATTCTCCCTAATTTATTAATTAAGATGGTCTTAACTTTTGTTAATCATGGCACATGATACCTTAATCTTCATTTGCAACATAAGTTAGGTCTTAATTACCATTATTGTACATGATGTTGAGCCATTGTCCTTTTAATAGTTTAATACTTATTATTTAGTGCTCCGTACTAAGTATTAATTATAACTAGGAATATTATTTCATAAAATATTTCAAAAGAGGTACTTTAAGGATTTCTAATTACAAAGAGGTAGTCCACCTTTATTTTAATGGTGGTAGTATTAAAACCTACATAGGAAGGTTTTTTTTTTTTTTTTTTTTTTTTTTTTTTTGGCACATTTTATAGCTTCACACTCCTTTTAAACATACATATGGTGATTTATATTTAAGTAAAAGTATAAATATGTTGAGTATTGACGTATTGTTATTCTTTAAAGCTGAATTGAAACACAGTACTCATAGAATAATGAAACGAGCCAAGTCGAGTGAATCTAAACGGAAGTAAAATGAGCTGAATTTGAGGGGATATGAACAAAAGTGAAATGAATTGAATTACGGAGTAAACTGAAGTAAATTTAACTTCAAAAGAGCAAGACTTTACTTGTCTAAGAGAATGCAATAGTAGAAAACAATATTTAAATTTCACATTTTTTGGTGGCTGCTCACTGATTTCAGAAATTGAGAAAGCAGGTCAAATGAATTGTAAGTTGGGCTTGCAAGTTGAGTCTTGGCCCGAATCTTGATATATAAGACAAAAACATGGTCCAACCCAAAGTCATTGACTTTAGAGAATCAGCCCCTTTTATATCTCATAAGTCTTAATAGTGTCAATTTTTTATGCAATTGGCATGCAATACTAGTATAAATTCCGAATACACCATATGGTCCTTACCCCCTAATCTAAATCCATTAATGTACTGTCATCAACCACGTTACAGAAAAATTTTAGCCACTAATTTATGCACTCGGTTTTAAGTTATATAAGAACCACCAAATATTTTTATATGATCGTAGTTAATTATGACTCGATTTTCATGAAATTTCAAACTTTAAATTAGACATTCAAGATATTAATAAATTAATTAGGATTGACTAATATTATAGAAATGCATTGGCTTTTTAAGATTACATATATCGAAATACCTTGTGATTTTTCACATAGAAACACTCATTATAATTTTCCTTACATTTAACAAACAACTTATAACAATACTATCTAGAACATAGGGCATGTTTTAGCTTACAACTTAGGTAGCAAACTAGCTAATAATCATCTAACTTATTTTGGTTTAAGTATTGTTACTAGTGATGGATTTTAGTCCTGGTGCGTGTAGCGTCCCATCTAGAACCAGGACCATATACATGACCAGGTCCAGGATGACCATATCCATAGTTGCCAGACTTGCCACCACTACCAACTCCACCCCCATAACCATGACCACCATCGCCCATGCCACTCCCACCACTCCCATCAAAGCCACCACCTGCGCCAAAACCACCGCCACCTCCACCACAACCACCTGGGCAACCTCCACCACAATTGCCACCGCAACCTCCACCAAACCCACCACCACCTCCAAATCCACCACCAGAACCTCCTCTGAAGCCACCGCCACCACCTCCTCCTCCCCCGTAACCATCACCTCCACCGCCATAGCTAGGTTTAGGATCCCCACCATAAGCACTATGCATGGTATAGCTCGTTTTTGTAATACCATTTTGTGCATTATCCTTCCTTTCAAAATCAATATTCTTATGATCCTCTAACATTCTTGCATCAATGATCCCAATGACCAAACTAATGTGATGGCAAAAGCCTAAGAACACAAGCCACCATAAGAACACATCGAATCTTTTCTCCATTTGTTTCTTACAAGTTGATTTAAGTGTACTCTACTATATAAGTTTGTTATGAAGATATTATTATGTTAATTTCCTTCTCTTAATTATCAAAGTATCATAAATGTATAAATATATATATACAAAGTTGTTATGTGTTTTAAGTGTGACAATTATGCTCAAATGTTTGTTAGAGCTTACCAATTGTATGTGAATGGTGGTGTGGGAAGTGCTTGAGGTCACTTTGTTGTGTCACTCAAATTTGGTGGGAATGAATAATTGCATGAGACTAGGTTTCCTAATGCAAGAGTGCTCAATGGTGTGTGATATTTGTTACTAAGTCACTATAACTGAAATATTTTAATTCGGGGTTTTAAATGTTATTAAAGTTCGTCATGTATACTCTGTTTTAAAATAAATTGCTCTTTTTTTAGTCTATTGACACTCTACATCATTTTTTCAAGACGTCTCTCAAATTATGAGCCAATGTTAGTCCAATTTATTTATTTAGTTTAATCATATTATTAAAACAAATATAAATCATTGAATCACGGACCACTAGCCAATTTGTGGATTAAGTTTAATCATATGAATCACGGACCACTAGCGATTCAAAATATAAAACCAATACAAGAAAAGATTGAATACAACCTCTACAACAATAGGTCAACAAGAAGAATAATAATGTGGTCCAAATGCCAAAAAATACTACGTAAAATAAAACATGGAATAATTATTGAAATAACAGGAAATTATATAATTTTGTGATGTTATTTTCGAAGCTATGGAAGGAACAGCTATTGAACCTATACGTTGTACAAGTATTAATCGTTTGACTCGTTTTTGCACAGCTTTTAGCCGTCAAGAATAAGAACAAATTAAGCTACTAAAGCATTTTTTTTGTCCCATATTGTAGCTTTTTTTTTTCTTTGAAAAAGCCTCCAAAAATTATTTCAGTTTGATTATTAGTACAAGATTACAAATTAAAAGAATGATGTTAGTTCATACTTCAATTCATGTCTTGTAATCTTCATGTTGCACCTAGACTACCAAACATGTATTTTAACTAGTTAATCTTTATTGTCGCCTTTCTAACTTTAACTTTGTTGGTTTGACGTTCTTAAAATTATCGATACGTATACAAATTAAAAACTAATCCTTTTATCTAGAATTGTAATAGTGTCATTTGTCTATCTAGCTAGTCTATCTATTACAATGATTGTTTTCAAGAGAGTAAACAATTTGTCTATCATAGTCGACTTTCAAATGCAAATACCTTTAATTTATGTATCATAGTTGACTTTCAAGTGTAAATACATACCTAGCTAGACTTTCAAGCATTTGTTTAATCATCTTTTTAATTTGTTTAAATTAGTTGTAACCAAATAAAAATTAATCAATAAAGAAAAGTACACCCTCCTAGAACTATAATTTGTCAATTTTGTCAAGTTATATGCATGGTCAGAAATTCATAGTCAATATTCACACGTGTTTTAAGAGAGATAGTAGATGTGAAGTATTAGTTTCTAGTCGATGCATATTAGTTTCTAGTCGATGCAATGTATGAATTATATTCAATCCTAATACTCCGTAATGTTGATCAATTGCTAGCGGATCTGATTAAATAACAAAATTGTGCCATTTGCTAGGGTTTGATTAATGCTCACTACAATTTTCTCAATTTGCATCGAGCGAGCTTTATGTTTTAATTTTTACTCAAATTTATCATAGATTAAATCATTTCATGTTTTCAATGACTAATATGTACATTATTAATCCCCTCATATCGAAAATAATAGTTAATCTAATACGAAGTACAAGTTACTATTTTACTATCGTCTAGAAAAATTTATAACACAACATGTATCATGATATTAGTAATGTACACATTATAATATCAAATTCTTATCATATATCCATACTCTCATTTGAAATCTATGCATGATGTAAGCTAAGGAGGGTGAGAGTAACATTCATAGCTACTAGCCTACTACAAAGTTCACCATACATACATGATACATACGAGTATATGATACATTACATTCAAGTACAACATATATACATGATACATACGAGTATATGATACATTACATTAGTACAACATACATACATGATACATACGAGTCAAGTACTTCCCAAAAGTGAATGTGAATTAAATATGTGATGGAACCCCTCTTGCCCTCTTGACAAAACCCCCCCATGGGCCTAATGGTGAAGGTTCCGTTCTATAAATTAATCCTTTAATTCGTTTCTTAGGGGCCGTTTGGTTCGCACGAGGGAATCGGAATGGAATGAACAAAGGGAAAGACATGGAATGGAATGAAAATCCCCAAATTTTGGAGTGTTGTTTGTTTTGAATAACAAAGGAATGAAATGAATGGAAGGCCACCAGTCCAACCACCACACCACCTCCACTCCCCTTCACTTTCAACCAATTTTGGCCACCACCCAGCCACTCCACCCACTCGCCGCACCTCCTCCACAACTCCCCCCCCTTCGCCGCGCCACCATCTCCCCTTGCCGCACTGCCTTGACCTCTCCTCCCCTGAAAAAGTGAATCGCTAAACATCGCCCGCAAATTACCATATAAAGCCCACAAATATGACTTGGTGTGACCATTATGCCCATTTTCTAAAATTGAAATAATCTCGGTTTAAAAAATGTGGAGCCGTACTGGCTCGCCGGGGGAGACCGGAGATGCGGGGGACGCCGGAGGTACGTCGTCGTCGACGGAAAACGAGGTAAGTCACCGTTAAAATTCACGGTTTACCGTCGGAGTGGCTCCGACGCCTAGGATGGACGCCCAAACCGTAGCCTGGACGTCCAAGCCAGACGCCAGAACCACCACAGTGGCGTCCAGCCCAGACGCCCAGACCACCAGACTGGCGTCCTGGCCAGGCGCCACTCTACTGGCTGAGGCGGCCCTGCCAGGCGCCAGTCCAGTGGCTGTGGCAACCCTGGCAGACGCCACCTTTATATATTAATTTTTTTTTTATTTTTTTATTTTGTTGTTTTTTATTTATTTATTTAAAAAAAAAATCGAAAATGATTTTTTAAAATAATTCGAAATGGGTTTTTTTAAAATTAATTTTGAAAATTTGAAATAGGTTTTTTTAAAATTAAGTTTGAAAATTCGAAATGGTATATTTTTAAATTTAGTTTGAAAATTCGAATTGGGTTTTTATAAAAATTAAGTTTGATTATACATAATTATGCTTTTTTTTTGTGTTAATTCTGTGTAAATATAGAAATTAAATGTATTATCCGTTAAATGTATTTATTATAATATATAATTGATGCAGGATTATGGTGGAGACGGAAATGATTACAGTGGGATATTTGGACATGATGGTCCATTCGAAGAAGCTCAACAGGCGATTGATTGGGCAAAACAGGTTGCAATTGCAGCTGGATTTTGCTTGGTAGTAGTAACTCATAAATCTCAACGGGATGGTAGAATGGATCGCATTTTGAGATGTGACCGTTATTGCAAAAGAGAAGAAAGAGATTTTCATACAGCCACTCGGTTTGATACAAAGCGGAAAGGTTGTGGGTGTGAGTTCAGAGTAAAGGTTCGACAACTACGGAGTCGTGACGGTTGGGAAGTGATTGGTTACTCTAAATGGGGGTATCACAACCATGAGATGATAGTATATGAAGAGGGTCATCGACAGCTGAGCGGCTTAAGTCCTGCTGCGAAACTAGTTGTGAAAGAAATGAGTGATGCTCAAGTCAAGCCTGCTAAAATATTAGCATCTGTGTTAGAGAAATTTCCAGAAGACCATCCAAACCGAAGACACATCTACAACGTCAGACAGCAACTCAGGTTTGAACGGTCAGAGGGAAGGAACCCTATACAGCAGCTTCTACACCAGGCACAATCACGTGGTTACCTGTTCTGGTTTGATTCTGATGAAGATACAACGGAGGTGACTCATCTTTTCCTTGTGCATCCTGATTGTGCTGATATGATCAAGTCTTGGCCATTTGTGATTTTGATTGACTCAACGAACAAGACAAACAAGTACAAGTTCCCACTGGTTGAGATCATGGGGGTGACTCCAACGAACCAGAACTTTCTGATTGGTCATGCAATCATCAAGGATGAGACGGCTCCAAGTTATTATTGGGTGTTGGAGAAGCTGAGAAACTACATCGAGCCTAATGTTCATCCAGCAGCCATCGTCAGCGACTCTGAGGGAGGTCTCGTTGCCCCCATAGCAGAGTTGTTTCCAGAATCGAACCACTTATTGTGCACATGGCACATCAACAACTGCGTGAAAGTGAAAGCCTACAACCTTTTCAACAAGAATTTGGAAATGGCAGAGAGATTGGTGAATGGTAAGTGGCGGAAGATCCTACAGGCTACCACAGAGGAAGCGTATGAGCGAGCATTGGCTAACTTCAGGGATTCGTACCAGTGGTGTCCGGCACTGGTGGACTATGTGATGCAGCAATGGGTCTCTCACAGGGAAAAATTTGTCAAATATTGGACAAACCAGGTACTTCATTTCGGGAACACTACAACATGTAGAGTTGAGAGCGCTCATAGAGCTACCAAGGACTGGATTGATTCATCGACCGCTGCTTTGGATACACTGTTCGATAGACTTAACAAGTCAATTGAAACTCAGAAGAACGACATCAGGAACTCTCTAGAGGACTCCAGACGACGACATGGTACGATGTATAGCCATTTTATATTTAAGATTCTCCATGGTCGTGTGTCGCACTACTGCTTGGGGTTGATTCTCACTGAGCTGAACAGGATGAGGGACTTGGCTGACGAAGTGTATGCTCGGTGTGGGTGTGCTATTTCAGTAACTCATGGATTACCTTGTGCATGCACCATTCACCGCGTTATTACAAAATAAAGGGCGTCGTTACATGTTGATCAGGTCCATTCATTCTGGAGGACGCTCGTTATTGGTGAGCATGCAGACACTTAAACGGCCGACCGTGAACAGGAGGAGTTGGAGCAGTTTCGTTCGATGTACGACCGAGTGTCCTCCAGCCATCCTTCT